CAAAGTGGCATACAGCAAACTAACGGCCATGGTCTGTTATAAATCTATCAGCCATTTACAACGATATAATGCCATAGTTTTATGATTAGCAAATACCTCATTATAAACTCGACCGGCAGACGACGCCGAAATTGGAATATGACACCATCTGTTCAGCGGGGACGTTTACCTTCACCATGAACAAACACGTGTGGCTATCAAATGGGTATTGGTTTATCAGCCTTGCTATTGACACGTTTACTAAAACACCTACAAATATTTTCCCCTCCATGTACACTTTTCACACACATGTCGAGATGCCGTCTTGAGAAAGTTTTTGTTTTGAAAACTCCAGATATAGTTTGTAAGCTGGGTAAGACCCCATCTACGTGCTGACCCGACATCCCACGGATAATTTACACCGGTTTAGACACTTGCAGCTCAAAATTGATATAAAACGACAACAGCAGGAACTGTGGAGACAAAACAAAAAAACTCATAAAATATTGGGAGGCTATATGTTTTTTTGTTTTTTTAATTCTGACGACAACAGTTAGAATACTTTCCAAGAAAAGGAAATAATTATTACTTTCTATTTCAACCCTTATGAAAGTGAAGTGATTACGCGGGAAATCCATTGTCATGATGAACATAACAAAGTTCAACACTACGACATCTGTTAAATATTCGATTTAGAATTAATACCTTGGACCTTATCACATCAAACAAGTGAAATAATTGCATTTTTTTTTTTACTAAAACAGAAAATTAATGTGTTATTATCACTGAAAATACAAAATATGGAAGCACCTTGAAAATATAAGTTTGTCGATTTGGAAAGTCAAATAAAGTAAACGTTTACTGCCTCTTATGCCAATTTCATCTATTAAGATGAAAGGTAAAAAAAAAATGAAAATGCATGTCCAAATTTTTCCGAGAGGTATACAGAAAAAATACAGTGAAAGAGAAAGTTACCTTCGAAAGCTTTTGTAACGTAACAAAATTTTATTTTTTTGGTAACAGATTATTTATTCTTAAACTAACATTTCATGTAAACCATGTTGGATTCATTGAAGACACAAAGTTATGGGAAACTCCGGGGACTGAAATGCCAGGCTGATTGTATTAATGACATAACAGTTATTCTGAATAATTAGAAATTGTTCTTTGATTGTGATTATAAGTCTAACGTAAACTGGGTAAGTCAACATACATTCTTAATTTATTTAGTTTGGTTTGATTTGGTTTGTTTGTGTTTTACGTTTCATTAACAGCTATGGTCATTTAAGGACGTGCCAGGTTTTGGTGGTGGAGGAAAGCCGGAGTTCTTGGAGAAAAACCACCAACCTTCGGCCAGTACCTGGCGACTGCCTCGCGTAGGTCTCGAACCCGCGACCCAGTGGTGGAGGGCTAGTATTAACCACTTGGCCACCGCGGGCCCCATTGAATTGTTACCTAGATGTCTAGTTTAGGTAATACAGAAACACAAGTTTCATTGGATGATTTCGTTTAAATAGCAGTATATCCTAACAGTAAAGTTTTGGTTTGAATAGCTTTAATATGGGGAAATAAAGAAAACATTGGCTTTTATTAGACAATTTTAATGCCCTTCCATATGAATTGATCTATAAAAAATGTATTTTTCACAGTGTCTTATTAGGCTAAATATTTTCTAAACTCACGTTTTGACATGTTCGAGATAAGGAATACTCATTATATTAAAGTAAAATAGAATTAAATCATAGTTATACTTTCTTTTGAAGAAAAAAACGAAATTAAAATCGTCAATCTTGTACTGGGAATTTTCTCGTGCAATATTGGCTTATGTCTTGACAATAAAAGAACGGAAGGAAAATTTACAATGACATGTGCATTTTAGTCTGTCATGGGTTTACTTTTGGGCACCCGTCAAGTTTAGGTACGTTTGTGCTTCGTGAGTCATTTATAAACAAATAAAGTAATGATCGTTTATCCTCAGCAAATATGGTGACATGCAATATGCAGGCTATCAAAGCCCAACAGGTTTTCAACATTGTTGTTGGAGACATATTGTACTTGGTGACCAACCCTAGGTCTACTTTCAAATTTAATCACTTACCGTGTTGAAAATTTGAAAATATACTGTTTACAGTGGATCCTGTATTATCAAGACAGTTTCGTGTCCAAGATTGAATCAATTTAATTAATTCCAAGCAATTTTGACTAAACTATGAGAAAGCTTGATTACTGGGGCTATTCAGTTTTTAAAAATATCATTATGTCCACTAAAGACGTTTGCTGCATAGAAGGACAACCGGATTTAGGCGTTGTTCTTAATTGACTTCCAAATTATCATGGTTTGATGAGATACCTTTAATATTATTTCTGATGTAATATTTATTAAATAATTAATGTAATATCCATAGAACCATTCTTTTTCTTCGATTTGTTTTACTAAACATGTGTACACTTCAAAACGAACATCTTGTAAGGTCAAGTATATATTCCATAAAAAATGGTAACAATCATCGATATATCTTATAATGAAAATGAAACTAAATATAAATTTTGGGGAAATATCAAGCCAGCGGTCAAAGACAGGTTATTATATAATGTAGCTTTAGGTCTGTGAATGTTGTATGCAGTTAACGAGTGTGCCATGAAGTATAGCTATTGGTAGTATTTAAATAGCATTAAACTATGTTCTTTTATATTAACCGTTATATAATCCATTAAGATTGTAATTAACTTTTTCAATTAAATAAATTAAATCTCATTCAAAATTCAAATACTTTGGTATCTCACTCGGACATTTAGGTATGTCTTAAAGGCAAATGAATACCACCGCGTCCATTGCAAATCTAGAAACAAACGTATGTGGCCATATCGTTTAACGGTTTGAGATCAAAGGTCAAGACACGGGGTAAAGCTCCCCAACGACCAAGATCAATACAAAAACACGGCATTTCATGTCTACATGGATCTTCTGCACTCTGGGGTAGTTTGTAGCTCTTTAATCTTGACCTATGACCTCATATACCCTACTTCGTAAAGACTTTTATCTTCAGTGTCTTTATCACAGTTGTCGCGTTGTACACGCCACCGAAAATCATTACAAGTGTGTCGTTTAAGGAGCAGATGTTTTCTAAACTCCTCCAAATTATTGGCCTTTGTGATTTAGGGGGATTTGTCACTTTATTTGATGAGGTGGTATCTTACCGCATGTGGGACGTCTTCTCCACATGAGCGTACTTAAACTCAAGTCAATATTTTTAGTTCGTTTTTTATATCATAAACATGAAGGCTTTTGTCGTTCCAGGTGGTTTTTAAAATATTTTAAACAATCACCTGGGCGAATTCCATATATTTTTACAATTTAGCAAAGTCATAAAAACTTCCATGTCTTCTAATAGGTTAAAGTCAAGTCTCATAATAGCAATGAAAGTTTTATGTCACGTTTTACTCGGTACATCGTAATAACATGTTTAACATAAGTGTAGAATTAGTTTATTAATTTCCCCCTGAATCAAATATCCTTGTACCTTTTGGTATTAATTGTAAAACCAGTTTATAAAAGAAAGGATACATTCGATTTTCTTTATGTTTATGACTTTACTCTATCTAATATGCAATATTGTTGATATTAGCCTAATAGTATAATCATTTATCAGTGCTTAAATAGATTTATCTAGCATTTCTTTTATCACAATACCCTGACGAATGATATTATAACTTAAGTTTATGTAGACAAATCTATCGATTTATTTTATTTATTCCCTCATTAATATATCCAATTAGTGCCCTTTTTTTGCCTTTTCACGCCTGTTTTGCGTAATGATTCATGCAATATTTCATGTTACAAATGATGATGAAATGACGTCACAAATGTTCATGTTATCACAATATTAACAAACAAAATTATAATAATAATATGATATGGATCTAAAATATCGTTTCCGTTACTAATGAGATGTATTAAAGTCGTCGTGAATGTTTCATTCGGCTTTCGAGAGTCTAATTATAATAAAAAGATAAAAAAAAAAATAGATCCCATATGTTTATAATAGGTAATTGTTTCATAAAGTTAAGATGTGACTTTTCTTCGGCATTGTCATTGTGTCTGGTGTTTTTTAAATATATATTATTTGGAAAGTCAAATTTATAATCACAGTTGATTCCTTGACATAAATTAGCCTTCTTAGATGTCAATATCACGCAAGTCAAATTGATCTTAATTTATACAAATAATAACAGATATCATAAACAATTGAAATAGGAATAACTTCATATTAAGTATATAATTAACGTTGACAAACTTCCAGTCGTCTTGGAGTTGTCCCTTAAACATGACCTCAAAAATGGGTACAGTAAAAGGAAATGTTGATACAATATGATTGTTTTTGTAAAATATCAATAATATCAGGTCATGTTACCATTATAATGTTCATTTGAAATAAAACAAAAATCATGCTAATTTATCAGGAAATTATGCTTATCTATCAGGAAATCATAAAAAAAAAATATTCTTCCCAATTGATCTAATTTTTGAAATATTAATTTATTCTCATTTATCACATAATGCATCAAAAAAGCTTCAATTCAAAGGGTTCCTAAATAAAAAGTAAATCATCAACATCATTCCTTGTTTACTATAGCAACCACCCGATCATTATGAAGTTTTCAAAAAAGAAAAAGGAAAATACTCAACATAACTCGATCCAATAATATATAATATATGGACATTAACAGGACATATACATTTTATAATGTTAATTTCGAATGAAATGAGTGACAAATTAAGCTAATTAATCGAGGAATCACAAACGTTATATAAATCCTCCCACGAGCTTTCATTCCGATGACGTTAAACATTATTATCACTTATTACATAATACATTATATTAGCTTCAGCTAAAAGCGTTCCCAAATACTTAGTCACTGCACGTATCTCTATTACAATATCATTAAATCTAGAAGTTCTCTTTCTACAGCATCCGCAATCTAAGCGTTGAAGTAGAACTCGTTGACGACTTAACACCTACCTTGATAGATTCCGCTTAAATGAAAGCGACACGAGTTATGTGATAAAGCCGTGGCTTCGCACGTTTTCCTCGCTTATCATCAATGAAACAGATATACCCGTCGGCACCCTTTGATGTCCCGTCTCACAAAGGGTAGTCTAATGTTTTCATCCTTAGTCCCCTCTACTGATAGTACAGAGAACACGCCCCAATCCACCCAGCGTAGATCGTAATACGTTGACATTTTGATGTATCACATGTTGACAGAGAAATACGGATTTACAAGGAGAAAGCGCTCCAACCGATAACAGTTATTTATAATAGGTAATATAGTCTATGAGTCTACCCATACGTACCATGCTGCTCATTTGTCGATAGAATCGGACTGACGTACGTGTATATTGCTTTGAATTCAGGTTTCTGGGGATTAATTGAGAATCGCAGACACTAGTGCTGAAAAGTAATTCCAAAATTCCACGAAAAAAAATATTCCGAACTTTAAGAATCAACATTTACACTGATCAGAGTGTCTGACAGTGCTTGTGACCTAATATACTAGAAGCTGAAAGTTTAACCCCGGTTTGCTTGACAAATGCTAGTCCCATTTTTAAATGTATATATCTAGAAACAGTTAGATATTCAGTTATAAAATAAAACACTCTTAAAACAAAGAATAAGAAAAAAGGACGTTATTCCTTATTTTTGTGTTGGGTCAATATAGCATAGCCTTCTTTGTTACGGGTTTCTGATGTTGTCTTTTCTCTCCAACATTGAATTCCGAGTTTAGACTTTCTATGTAGACATAACTAATATGGTTTACATAATACGTTATATTCTTCTAGAAAGAGTCAAGAGCTTCCTTAATATTCATACTGTATAGAAATGGATTAAGTAAGAGTAAACAGCTAAAAAATAAATTAAAGTTAAAACTTAACAAAGAAATACTCCAGCTTTTACACCAATTCGACAACTCCACTATTACCGCCTCCTGTAATAGATTGACAACTATATTTTGTTTCACTATTACACACATGGAATTCTAATCGATCATGAATCTTGGTTTAAGTTCTAGATTTAGGTGTTTTATAAAACAAATCAAAAGAACACTCGTTTAAACATTTTTCAGTCATAATTTAAAGAGCATTTTACTTATTGTTACTTAAAATACCCTGCATATATCTTAATATTCTGACCACTTGTTTAAAACTTACCATGCATTTAATGCCTCGCACCTATGTAATATCAGACCATTGCATTGCCCTTACCACCGATGTTATACACCCCATCACCGGTGTAGTATTTTACCACATTTATATGTGGAATACCTCCACCGCTTATTTATAACTAGCTGATTTGTTAATGCTCCTGCCGTCCATTAAATGTGTTAAATACTTGCATGTCCTTACCACGTATTTGATGTCCCAACCGCATACTTAATGTCCCTTCCACCTTTTTGATATCCTTACCACCTACTTGATGTCCTTACCACCCATTTGATGTCATTATCACCTATTTGATGTCCTTACCACCCATTTAATGACCTTACCACCCTTTTGATGACCCTATTACATATCCAATTCACCTACCACCTATGTGATGTCCTTACCACCCATTTGATGTCCTTATCACCTATTTGATTTCCTTACCACCCATTTGATGTCCTTACCATCCATTTGATGTCCTTACCAATCATTTGATGTTATTATCACCTATTTGATGTCCTTACCACCCATTTGATTACCTTACCACCCATTTAATGACCCTATTACATATCCAATTCACCTACCACCTATGTGATTTCCTTACCACCCATTTGATGTCCTTACCCTCCATTTGATGTCCTTACCAATCATTTGATGTTATTATCACCTATTTGATGTCCTTACCACCCATTTGATGTCATTATCACCTATTTGATGTCCTTACCACCCATTTGATGTCATTATCACCTATTCGATGTCCTTATCACCCATTTGATGTCTTTACCACCCATTTAATGACCCTATTACATATCCAATACACCTACAACCTAGTTGATGTCCTTACCACCCATTTGATGTCCTTACCACCCATTTGATGTCCTTACCACCCTTTGATGTCCTTACCACCCATTTGATGTCCTTATCACCCATTTGATGTCCTTACCACCCATTTGATGTCATTATCACCTATTCGATGTCCTTACCACCCATTTGATGTCCTTGCCACCCATTTAATGACCCTATTACATATCCAATACACCCACAACCTATTTGATGTACTTACCATCAATTTGATGTCCTTACCAACCAATTAATGACCCTTTTACCTATCCAATACACCTACCACATATTTGAGGTGTAAAATGACAATTGTAATTAAGCTTGCTTTGGTGAGGTACCAAGTACATGATTTAAATAATCAAATATGCAAATGATAGAACAGCAAAAATAATTGCCATATGCTTCATATAAAGTAATTACCGGTAATATCTAATGAATGTCTTTGTCACCCATGTTTAAAAGTTATTTATTATTTCGTATAAGACAACAGAGGTTGGGGTGTATCTTTTTCAATTTTCATTGTTTCTAGTCATATCTTAGCACTTGCATCAGATAAAGCTGAAAACAATTCTTTGAATTTCAATCAATTGTTTCTACCTCTGCGCAGTCAGTTACATGTGTACTTTATTCAATTATTACATTTCTCCATATTAATAGTGTGAAATACAAAAACAAAATGGATCTTGTATTAGCAGCACCTGATCTATAACCAACAATAAGGTTATCTTACTGTTAATCACTGAACTTTTGCGGATACTTCTTTTTGCGGTTTTGGGTTATGACATCATACATTTCTGGAAGATATTTCATGTATACACGCTGTATCTATTTATTTACTTAATTAATTATTTATTTATTTATTATTCCAATGTTGCCGGTGAAAATTTCTTAGATTTTACCGATGTCGCGCGACTTTTGGATTCGCGACGAAATATTGTTTTCCGCTAACATAGTTGTTTGTCTATATATATGTCCATGATAACCACAAGCGATATATCGAATTAGCGTAATGTCGAATACCCAAAGTTAGCCTTAATAACAATATTTGTGACAGAACAAACACAAACCAGATAAATATTAATTTGAATAAATAATTTGGAAATTACAGCAAACAACAGTATGTTAGCCGCTAACAGAATCGTTGTTCTTTTACGTAACTTTAAAGTATTTAATTATACTTCCAGACCTACTCGAAATTGCCACCACTGGGCACTGGGCTTGAGTCTAGAGTACCCATTGACTGGATTCAAGGATGCCCAGCAATACACTTCAATGAAGGGGCTAGCATAAGGATTTCTACGAGGACACCCGAACCATACACTCAAATCAAGGGGTGACTTAAGGGTCTGTCAAGGGTCAGATACTTACATAAAGCAAACTAAACTTACCTTCAACGTAGAAGAGCTCTTGGATATCAATTGGAATTAATGAGTTGTTGGTTGAAGGAGATGCTTCATATAGATGAGGACGTTAGGTTGTTGGGTCCTGGTCTTAGTGAGGGGGTTCTCGATTATGTCGGGAAACTATATATCGTCACCATAGAAATCAAACAACCAACAAGTCACGACAGAGTTGCTCCTTTAGCAACCAAGCCATTTATCATTTTGAATTTCCGTAACCTGGATAAAACTTCATTTGTGCATTAATTCCTATCGACAAAGCAAAGATTGCCATATGGTGTATGAAATATCGCACTGGGTGTTAGGTAGGTTTGCTGATGAACGTGATATGGGGTTTTGCCTGCAACAACGACAAACCAGAATCCACTATGTTATCATCGTGACATTACATGTATTACGTCATTCGTCAAATTTAATATTGTTTTAGAACTTATTAATATAACACATGATTCGATATTTATGTAGTAATAATTGCAAGTGTATGGCGATTCTACTTAGTATTTGGAGGGACGGCAGGTTGGAAACAAAGAATTCAAGTTTTATTTATTGATAATCGAGCAGTAGGTCAAGTCAGTTCAGTGTTCCTAATAAACAACGTTTACTTTTGTAAAGCGGAAAATATTCGACGCAAATTAATGTTCGGTATTTTCGCAATCGAACAAGGGGGTGAATTCAATACTATATTTAAAATCAGTCGCATGGTAAAAAGTCTTCAGAAACCAAAAATACAATAGCTATATCTAAGTGTGATTCGCTAGTCTGGTTGTATAAGCAACAGGGATTGCTAGTCTTGTTGTATGTGGGAACAGTGCGTAGCTAGTCTGGTTGTGTGTGGTACCAGTGATTGGCTAGTCTGGTTGTGTGTGGTAACAGTGAGTAGCTAGTCTGGTTGTGTGCGGTAACAGTGAGTAGCTATTCGTGTTGTGTGTGGTAACAGTGGTAACTAGTCGTGTTATGTGTAGTTACAATATGTAGCTAGTTTGGTTGTGTGCGGTAACAGTGAGTAGCTATTCGTGTTGTGTGTGGTAACACTGAGTAGCTAGTCGTGATGTGTGTGGTAACAGTGAGTAGCTAGTCGGGTTGTGTGTGGTAACAGTGAGTAGCTAGTCTGGTTGTGTGTGGAAGTAGTGAGTAGCTAGTCGTGATGTGTGTGGTAACAGTGAGTAGCTAGTCTGGTTGTGTAGGGTAACAGTGAGTAGCTATTCGTGTTGTGTGTGGTAAGAGTGGGTAACTAGTCGGGTTGTGTGTGGAAGTAGTGAGTAGCTAGTCGTGATGTGTGTGGTAACAGTGAGTAGCTAGTCTGGTTGTGTAGGGTAACAGTGAGTAGCTATTCGTGTTGTGTGTGGTAAGAGTGGGTAACTAGTCGGGTTGTGTGTGGAAGTAGTGAGTAGCTAGTCGTGATGTGTGTGGTAACAGTGAGTAGCTAGTCTGGTTGTGTAGGGTAACAGTGAGTAGCTATTCGTGTTGTGTGTGGTAAGAGTGGGTAACTAGTCGGGTTGTGTGTGGTAGTAGTGAGTAGCTAGTCGTGATGTGTGTGGTAACAGTGAGTAGCTAGTCTGGTTGTGTAGGGTAACAGTGAGTAGCTAGTCCGGTTGTGTGTGGTAACAGTGAGTAACTAGTCTCGTTGTGTGCGGTAACAGTGAGTAGCTATTCGTGTTGTGTGTGGTAACAGTGGGTAGCTAGTCCGGTTGTGT